ATGCGGTTCGACATTTGGTAATAACCACAGCAGATCTTCTCGCATGAAACTGAGGCAAACTTTGAGGGGACAGTTATGTTATTTGAAGCTAGATGCAGCAACTCGTGGTAATAAAAACTATCTTGCCATTAATTTACAATTTTATAATGAAACAAGTAATAAGTCTGAAATAAAAACCCTAGATATAGTTGACACTGAAGGAAATCATAACTCTTTGTATGTAAAAAATCAAATTAAAGAAACCTTAAAAAAATTTGATATTGAAGAAAAACAAATACTTAGTATTTGTGTAGATAATGCAGCAAACATGACATCTGCTGTAAATAAACTTGGAATTCGTGAAAGCATCACTCAAGGTGAAGGTAATGAAGAACCTGAGGATATTGATGAGAACAGTGCAAACATTTTGCAACAGTGGGTCAATGATCCTTCTGAAATATTACCACAGTGGGTTAATGAAGACACAAACATTCAATTAATGAGGTGTGGGATTCATACTCTTCAACTGGCCATTTGGGATGGATTAAAAAATGAACGAGTAACAAAAATTCTAGGAAGAATTAGGCAAGTTGTAGTAAAATTACGAACACCAACAATCCGTAGTATTTTATTGAAAATGTATGGAAAAACACAATCTTTAGATACAGTAACAAGATGGGGTTCAACATATGCAATGCTTGATCGTCTTCTGTTTTTCAAAGGCTATTGCGAACAAGTTGTAGCTGCTGCAGGAACAAAAGATTTAGAACTTAGCAAAGATGAATGGAATGAAGTAAAAAATATCAGAGATGTTTTGGAGAAACCTAATATCACTATAGTTGCCCTTCAAGCTGCTGATCTTACTCCAGGTATGTTTATGAAGGAGTGGTGTAAACTTGAAAAATGTTTGGAAGAAAATGGAGAATATGTTGCGCTAGGAATTTTATCTTCTATGAGAAAGCGGAAAGAAAAGCTTTTACACAACACACATTTTCTTGCTGGAGTGTATGTTGATGCTAGATACAGAATCTTATTGAATAAATCAGAAAAAATCAAAGCCAGAGAAGGTTTGGCTGATATTCAATTGCGATTAAAAAGAAAAAAAGTATTTGATTCAGCAAAAGAGTCAACATCTGTTAATGTGTCCCAGCCAACATGTGATTTAAATTTTATCTCTGAAGATGATGATGATGATGATGATTTTGATAGAAGAGAAAACACACGCAAAATTTCTATGAAATCACACATTGAAAATGATTGTGAAATACAAAGGCATTTTGAAGAGGACTGTAAAGCTATTGAGGATGTTGGAAGAATAAAGGTGAATGTCTTCGAAGCCATTGCACATTATCCAGATCGAATCAGACAGTCAAGCAGAATAGCTGCAAGTATGCCAACATCACAAGCCAGCGTTGAAAGATTATTTTCAGCTTTGAAATTAATACTAAGTGATAACAGACAATCGATAAAAGAAGATTTGCTTTCCGCTATTTTGTTTATTAGAATGAATGATAGAATTATTGACTTAACTTGATTATCTTGTGTCTGTATGGTGTATCATTTTTATTTTTAGAACCTGTACTTTCTTAATTTTTTGTATATTTCATCAATTTAACTATACGTTACGGAAGTGGTACTAAAAATCAATCAATTGATTGATTAAAAAAATATTTGAAAAAATTTGTGTTAATTGATTCTAAAACACACTCCCGCCTCGGAGCACGGAGCGGAGCAAACTTTTTTTATGCTGGAGCGGAGCTGGAGCGGAGCAATTCAAAAAAGTGCTTGCTCCAAAGCCCTGTTTTACACTGCTTATTGGATGTCACCATGTTTCTAGCAAAACAAAATTTACATTTTCGAGGCCACAGTAAAGATGACTTTTCTAACAACAAAGGCAATTTCTTAGAGTTAGTTGAATTAATTTCACACTACGACCCTGTCTTAAAAGAACATTTAGTGAGGGTCCAACATAGCAAGGCAGGAAACACGATTTCATATCTTTCCCCTAAAATTCAGAATGAATTTATTTCTATATTGGGAGATACTGTGAAACAGAAAATTATTGATGATGTAAAGCAAGCAAAGTATTACAGGATAATGTTTGATTCAACACCTGATATATCTCACCAAGACCAATTAAGTGAGATTATTAGATATGTTCATATAAAAAACAAAAATGTAGAGGTAAGAGAATCATTTTTAGGATTTTTTCCTCTTGCCAGAAAGAAGGCTATTGATATCACACAAAGAATTGTAAATATTATTGATGAAGAGGGTTTGGACATAAACCTATGTCAAAGCCAAGGTTATGACAATGCTTCGGTAATGTCAGGTGTTCATTCTGGGGTACAAGCCAGGATCCATCAAATAAATCAGAAAATTTTATTTGTACCTTGTTCTAATCATTCACTTAACTTGAGCGGGGTTCACGCATTTGGAAGCAATCCAACTTGTGTAACGTTTTTTGGAACAATTGTAAGCATTTACAACTTCTTTTCTTCATCAACTCATAGATGGGATATATTGTCAGAAATAGTCAGGATCACTGCAAAAAGGCTAACAGGAACCAGGTGGAGTGAGTAATATCATGCGGTGAAACCTATAATGAATCATTTCAGCAAGTTGGTACAGGCTTTAGAAAAATTATGTGATCCATCAGAAAATGTAGATACAAGAGGTTCAGCTCAAATTTTAATGAAAAATATTCAAGATTTCAAATTTCTTGCTTATCTTCATTTCTGGAGCAGTACTCTTGAGGAAGTCAATCATACTCAAAAATACTTGCAAACAGAAGGAATTGGTTTAGATAAAACCATTGAAAAATTAGATACCTTAAAACTTTTTCTGCATGAGAGTCGCGATGAATTTGTTGAAAATGCATTGATATTTTCTTCAAAAATTTGTGAAGAAATGGGAATAGCTACAGAAAAATTGGGTCGAAAAAGTCAAAGAAAGCTTATGCCTGGAGAAGAAAGTAAAGATGAAGCTTTAACGTTAAAACAGGAATTGAGACGATCAATGTTTCAGTCACTTGATAATTTTTATCAAGATCTTAGAAAAAAGATAGAATCAATGCAAAATGTATATGTAAAATTTGCAGCCATTCAATCATCACATCTTATTGGAATGGAGATAGAAGAACTTTCAAAGCTGATACCAAATCTGACAGAAACGTTTGATGAACTAGAAGAAAATGAAATGATACCCGAAATTAAACGATTAAGACATCATCTTCAAGCAGGAAAAATTGAGAAAGATGATGTTAAAAAATGGTCTGCACTGAAAATGTTAACCTTTATAATAGAAATTGATTTACACGAGTCAGTTCCAAACTTATATTTAGCTTTAAAGATTTTTTTGACAGTGTGTGTTTCAATTTCTTCTTGCAAAAGAACCTTTTCAAAATTGAAGCTGATTAAAAGTTATCTTCGTTCGACAATGAGTCAAGCATGACTTAATGGCTTAGCAATCCTATCAATTGAAAACACAGTGGCGAGAAATATTAACTTTGATGAAAAAATACAAATATTTTCTGATGCAAAATCTCATAAAAAACAGTTTTAATATATTTTTTGATTAGCTGAATCAAAATTTTGTGGCATATGTGTACTGACATGTGTAAATGTTTTGTATCTATGTATATTGCATTTTTGTAAAACATAAAATATAAAAATATTTTTCATTTATTTTCTGCATCATCAGCCAATTAAAAAATGAAAAAAAAGAATAAGTGCCTTATCCTTTTCTGGACATCGGCAACCATCAATTTCCACAAAATATGGATTGTGGTTAGTTTTTGTAGTTAGTAGTTAGTTTACCATTTCTTTTTGCCATTGCATCAAATAAGCGACCATATGATGGTCTTTGGGATGAACAGCATGGTATGCTTTCGAACTGGATGACACTGACTTCAACGACCAAGCAGATAATCATTACATCCACCATATAATATCTATGTATATGTAATACATATTATTTATTTATGAAAGGCATCACAAATATTTCCGCCCCGGGCCTCAAAGGCCCTAGGAACGCCAAAGGCTTGGACAACAGCAAGCGATATGACGAGTGTGGCATGTTTTAGGAATAAGATAAAGTAGATATGTTGAATTGAACTGAACAATTATGGTTAATTAGTTGTTTCTGGTGTTTTAATTAATGTTATAATATTAATTTGATGTTAACATTTGATTTATGACATTATATAAAAGTTTCTTTTATTGATTTTGAGTTTGTATTTAAAAAGAAGTTTGAAATTAACTCGTCTCGTAGTTTGAATTATTGATTTCGTGAAAAAACCCTGACATCTGGTGCAGTCGACAGGATATTAAACAGAACTTTGCGTGATCATTATGATTATGATATAATAATCTCAGATAAAAGTCTGTGAGAGTCATTAAATGTTTTTATGAAATAAAACATAATTTTAAATTTATAAAAATATTTAGTATAAATTGTAGGTTGGTTATTGTCAGGGCTAAGGTTAGTTATCTCAACATTAAATTTGTCATGTGATTTGCTAGCCTCATGTTATTATAGCTCTGATTATAAATTAAAAACCCAAACTTTAAGCCAAATCTGCTGGTTTTAAAAATTGTAAAAATTATATTATTTAATTGTATTTTGGAAACGTAAAAAATCCTTACATAGTATAATCTTCCCGCTTCTGAATATAATATTTTTTCATAACTTTGGCCTCGTGCAGGTTGTTGTCTATATTCCATGATATGAAATCGACTTTTTTCAACAGTTTTTTTTCGTGATACTTTAGCTTTCGAACCATTTCTTAAACGCTAACAAAAGCTTACCAAAAAATTATTTATCAGTTGCCACTAAACGTTTTTAAAACTTTGCAAAATATAAACACACACACACACACACACACACGCTTGTAAAGATGCGTTAAGTGGCTAAAGCATTAACATCAAATGCAAAAATCTATTTTTTTATATGGAAAGCCGTAAATAATATTTTAAATTGCTTTTTATACCTTTATGACATCCGAAAAAAAGATTGATTCCTTATTAAACAAATAATGTGAAATTATTAATTATACTTTAGTTATAAAATTTAATTATAATCATATATCATAAAATTTTCATGTCTAAAATATTTTGCAATCATTGAATTTTAAACTGGAATTTTGATCTATCTTGTCTCCCTCATTGCACGCACTACTGAAAACAATCAATCAATCAATCAATCAATCAATCAATCAATCAATCAATCAATCAATCAATCAATCAATCAATCAATCAATCAATCAATCAACCAATTAGTTTATAAAGCGCTAGTTCCGCGATGTTCAAAAGCGCTCCTCAATGAATTTTGAAAACAGATGGGTCTTAAGATCTGCTCTGAACTTCGCAAGTGATGGAGAAGTAGTCAGAAAAGTAGGTAGAAAGTTTCAGAGAAAAGGACCAGAAAAAGCAAAAGCAGATTTAGCAAAAGAGTGTTTAACACGAGTTAAGAAAAAGCGATCTATTGATCTAAAATCAAATCAATGCAACTTTTTATGAAAATTATATAATTTAATGCTTGCATTAAATTAATAATGAGTTTTATAAAAAGTTTAAAATTAATGATTAGGGGGATGTTTATAAAACACAACAATCTCAAATTAGCTCAGCTACCAGATAAAAATACTAAATTTGACTAGATATTATGCAAATGCAGAAAATGAAAAAAATAAATTTTTTTAGATTCATAAATCTGCCTGTCAAGTACGACAAGTTTAATTTAACTCAGTTTTACGTCTACCAAAAGTAAGATGCTAAATATGCATAAAAATTTTGAAATGCATAAAATCAATTAATTTAAAAATAATCAAAATGAATTAAATCTTTAAAAAATAAATAAGTTTTTATTAATAAACTATAAAAATGTAAAAATAGTAAAATTTGATAAGTTCGGCAAATAAATTTTCATGGAAACTAGAGAATGAAATCAGAATCATCTAAAGCGTACTAAAACTGTGCTCGGGTGCGTTTTTGATCTATCAGCAAGCGAAAATGATATTGTGAAAGAGCAGTTTAAAAAACAGAAATCACGTTTAGACAAAATTGAAGAGAAACTGCAAAAAATAAAAAAAAACAGATGAAAAAATATCAAGAAAACGATTGAAGCCAACAAAGAGACATGGACAACAGTTGTCAGAAAGAGTGTGGACAAAGAGTTGAAAGTTGTGCAAGAAAAAGTCAAAAGTGTCGAAGAGAAAGTGGAACTAAATGCAGAAGAAGGAAAACGAAAAGAACGCAAAAGAAATAACATCGTCATCCATAAATTGGCAGAAAACAACGCGTCAGAAGCAAAAGAGAAAAATACGGCTGACAGAAAATCTGTTATGTTTCTTTTTAATGAAGTGTTAAAGGTTCGTGCAAGAATACGGATATAAAAAGTGTGTTTAGACTTGGAAAAATCAAAGAAGGAGAAAATGGAAGACCTTTTTTGATAGAATTTCTTGATGGAACACTGAAAAACAGAGTTTCAGAAAATTTGTCAAAACTCCGAAATGCGGATGAAAATTTTAGAAGGATATCGATGACGCACGATATGACAAAAACAGAAAGAGACCAATGCCGAGAGCTAGTGAAGGAGTCAAAAATTAGACAAAGCAAAGAAACATCGGGGGAATTTATTTTCAAGGTGAAAGGTCTACCAGGAGACATGAGAATTGTAAAGCTGAAGAATTATTAAATACAACGGGTAGCAACGCAGAGAAAGCAACAATAAAAAAGAAAAAAAACAAACCTGAAATTTTAAAATGTTTCTGTGTAAATACAAGAAGTATTGTAAATATTGATAAAAGAACAGAACTGGAGTTATATATAGAGAATGAACAACCCGATATCATAGGTATAACTGAATCATGGGCGAAAGAATCGATTCAAGATAGTGAGATAGAATTGAACGGATACGTAATGTTTAGAAAAGAAGGGAAACACAGTAGAGATGAAAGACAGGGCGGCGGAGTGTTATTGTACATAAACGAAAAACTGACTGCAATGGAAAGAAAAGACCTGAAAAACGACAAATTTAAAGAAATTGTTTGGTGTGATATAAAGAACGATACTGAAACACTGCGTGTTGGAGTATGCTACAGAGTACCAGATTCAACAAAAGAGAATGACAGCGGATTACGTGAACTGATCAGAAATGCCACAAAAACTGTTTCTGGACTGCATAGACGAAAACTTCCTTACTCAGCATGGGGAGAAAATATATTAGATTTAATAATATCAACAGAAGAGAACATAATAGAAGAAGTTAGGGTAGGAGAAGAATTTGGAACGAGCGATCATAGGATACTTAGATTCAACATAGTGTTAGAGCAGAAAAAAGAAGACGAGGCTTATTCAAAGCGCTACAATTATTTCAAAGCAAACTACAACAAGGTCAGAAATAAAATCATAGAGATGAACTTGGCAGAGCAATTGAAAGATTTGGGAGTGCAAAATAAATGGAAAACCTTTGTGTCCTGTATGAATAAAGTTGTTGAAGAAACTATACCGACTATCGGGAGAAGCAACAAAAAACTACCGTGAATAAATAAAAATGTACAGAAAACAAGAAGATCAAAATTTAAAGCATGGAAGAAGATGCAGGAGTTAAGACAGAGATATCTCAGAAATGCTAAAGATATCTCAAAAAGTGAGTTAGAAGCAGCAAGGGATAAATACATCAGAAAGAGAAATCTAGCAAAGGCAACAAACAGGAAAGCAATAAAGGAATATGAAGAAAAGCTAAGTGAGAACATAAGTACAGACAGTAAAAGCTTTTTCAGTTACATGAGAAAAAAACAAAAAAGGAAAGATAAAGTGGGGCCTCTGAAGACTGATCATGGCAACATTGTAACGGAAGAAAAAAAAATGGCTGAGATGCTCAATAACTACTTTGGATCGGTGCTGACAAAAGAAAATACAAATAACATAAAGGAGCCAAAAAAATTGCTTGGGGGAAGCCAAGAAAGGATGCTTACAAGTGTTTACATAACAGAAGAGATGGTTGTCGAAATACTAGGCAGTCTCAAAGAGAATAAAACTCCAGGAATAGATGAGCTGCACCCAAAATTTTTAAAGGAAATAAGACATGAAGTAGGAGCCACACTGTGCGAAATATTTAATGACTCTTTAAGATAAGGAGATATACCAAGGGATTGGAGGGACGCTATCGTCACGCCATTGTTCAAAAAAAGACGTAGAAGCGAAACTAGTAACTACAGACCAGTTGGTTTAACTTGCATTATATGTAAAATATTAGAAAAAATTATCAAGAAGAATATAGTCGAGCACTTAAATTCTAACTGCATAATCAATGACAGCCAACATGGTTTTATGAAAGGACGATCCTGTCTATCTAACCTATTGGATTTTTTTGAAGATGTTTATGCTAACCTAGACCAGAATAACTCGGTAGACGTAATATATTTAGATTTTGCAAAAGCATTCGATAAGGTGCCACATAAAAGGTTATCCAAAAAGTTACAGACATGTGGGGTAGAAGGAAATCTGCTATAATGGATAAAAAATTGGTTGAAAGATAGAAGACAACAGGTGCGGATAAAAGGAATAAACTCGAGATGGATAGACGTAACAAGTGGCGTGCCTCAGGGATCGGTATTGGGACCGCTATTATTTGTGATATACATTAACGACATTGACGAAGGAATAGTCTCAAAGATTTCAAAGTTTGCAGATGATACCAAATTATGTGGGAAAGTCAGCAACGATGAAGATGCAGAAATATTGCAAAAAGACCTAGCACGACTGTACCAATGGTCCAAGGACTGGCAAATGCTTTTCAACGTTGACAAATGTGCAGTCATGCACTTAGGGAGGAAGAACGCTAGATATGAATATAAAATTGGTGAAAGAGAACTACGATCGACAGAGGAAGAAAAGGATCTAGGAATCATTGTTCATCAAAGCACAAAACCGTCAAGACAATGTACAGCTGCAGCGGCCAGAGCCAATACGATCTTGGGGTTTATAAGAAGAACAATGGTCAGCAGAGAGAAGCATATTATACTGAAACTGTATAAAACCCTGGTCAGACCTCATCTGGAGTACTGTGTTCAAGCATGAAGCCCATATCTGCAAAAAGATAAGGAAGTTTTGGAAAAAGTACAGTGTAGAGCCACAAGAATGATTAGACGAATCGGAAAAATGGAATACGATGAGAGATTGAAAAAATGCGACTTGACATCATTGGAAAAAAGAATATGTAGAGGAGATCTAATCTAAACATATAAATTGATCACGAATAGGGAAACAACTCCATACTCGAGATTTTTCAGGCTAGTAAACAGTGATAAACTACGAGGACACAGATTTAAGATTTTCAAAAACTCGGATGGAAAAATAAAGAGCAGATTCTTCAGCAGTAGAGTGGTCAACGCCTGGAACGAGCTAAGAGATAATGCAGTCTCTGCAAATTCACTCAACAGCTTCAAAGCCAAACTCGGACAGATAGGATATTAGGAGATCTAATTAGTAGTGGTTCTTACACAGACCATAGTCTTCTGAACCACTTTAAATCCCGTTAATAATAATAATAATAATAATAATATCAGTATGGGTAAAGTTTCGTTGCGTTGGTATCGTCACTTTTAATTGCCAGCCTACAATGGAAATTGATCGAAATGTTGCGGACACCTACATCGCTGAAAACTATTTTCATCGGAAATTTGAAAAATCAGATGGAAAGTCTGTTTTCGTAAGTCAATTGGTGTGTGGGGACGTAGGATGTGTAGTTTGGGACTCGGCTATCGTGATGTTCCACTTTATCGAAAAAAATAAATCATTTTTTTCTGGGAAAAAGGTTATTGATTTAGGATCAGGAACAGGACTGATCGGAATCCAAGCAGCAGCTTGTGGGTTAATAACATTGTTTTTGTGTTTTATATTAATTAGCTTTACTTATCCTGCTATTTATTTTTATGTTGTTACATGTTTTAAGAATTACAAATTAAGAAAAGTAATTTTTTATTTTTTAAATTGGATTATTTATGTTATATTATTATTAAAATAAATTCAAACTTGTAAGTAAAGCCCAGGTCAGTAAATGTCACGCCGTCAGCCATCATAATGCTTTCCTAAATATTACAACATATTGAATATAATTTAAGGCTTAAATTTTAACATTAATCTAACGTTTTTCTAAGCTAATGTTTTTTGAAATATTATAACATATATTACTCGTTATTATATAAGTCATTATAAATAAGTTAATGCTTAAACAATTATAAATTATAAAATTATTTAATCAAAATTTTACTATGTTAACATATTTAAATACGAAATAAACGTTTTTAAACATATATATTATGAATTTAATTATTGTTCAATAATTCAATACAAGTAAAAGACTTTAGTGCTTTTTCCTCTAAACCTTGGCAGGCATTATGATGTGTTACGTGTTACGTGTTCCCACTGTATCCAATTTGTTCTACTTTTATTGTCAGAATACTTGATTCCACATGTTGAACAAGGAGTCTGGTTTTCAGTGGTTGACAGTGCATTTCTTCTATTTTTATTTTTGTTAACTTTCTTAGGATCTGTTATAGTGAAATCCTTCAATAAACTTATTTTTTTGGCTGTGTCCTTCGGTGTAGGTGTTAATTTCTTTTTATTTGTATTATTAGCTTCCAGATGAGCTTTTTCTTGAGTGTCAGTAGCTATGAGACTTCTTCTTTTTTTCTACCTTTGTTGTTGTTTGTTTTTCTATTTCCTGCTTTTGGATATTCCTTAAACTGCTCCGACTTTAAAATGTGACAGGTGCTAGCTGTTCAGTATAGATAGACGTTGAACTAAATTTACTATGAATAGGATCCAGATGATCTGAAACGGATGGACAAGGCCCACTAAGAGCAGGATCCAGATAATCAAACAGATGGACAAGATCCAAATGATCAGATGTACAAGGTCCACTAAGAACAGGATCTGGACGATCTGAAACAGCACTCTGAAAAGATATTACAGTCAAAAGGATAAATTCCAGTTGACTAATCTAGAAAATATGTTTGACGGAGTTACAGATTTACAGTGTGCATACCCCACAAACGTTTGCAACTTCATAAATGCCAGCTGGTTCACCAGGATTTCTCACTAACCATGAGTTTATAGCATCATTGTAAAATTTAAAGAATGGATAGTACACAGAAACATCCAATGGACACTACATGCATCAGGGCTTCTAATACTATGAGAGGGATGCCGCTTCATGAACAACCTAAATCAGTTTTCCATGTTGTTGGAAATCTAATTCCACTAATTTTGGCCATCTCGTATGCAATTTTTCTACACTCTTTTGTTGAAATTCCATACATCATTTTTGAACTTGCCAGACTTTTTTCCTCTTCTGTTATAAATATTTTCCGAGTTGCATAGTTTGATTTGAATCTAGGATGATTTCTATAGGATGCACAGCTGATGCTTTTGTGACATAGCGGGCCAATGTTTGGAATGACAAATCATAAACATGAGCTACCTTTCGTAAAGAACCACCATCCATTACTTCGCCTACAGCATGACACATGATTTTTTCAGAAAACATGCCATTGTTGGATTTTCTTTTCCTATTTCTCATTTTGTCTGCAAATCAATTATTATAATAATTATATAATCATTTAAGAATTATTTTATTAATTAAGAAATCATGTTTAACACCAGTTTTGTTATTGTCTCAAGGTACCCCATACTGTGCCCTATCATTGTTGTCTCACTGTACCCCACACAGTCGTTTACATAATTATTCGACGTAGTGCCAAAACCAATTGGAATAAAAGTTTGGCTTCTATATGAACTAATTCCTTATTGAAACGTCAAACTTTCATATGGGGGTGATCACAGTATCATTACAAATAATTGAACTATTTTATTCCAAACCAAATATTAACATGTCTAGAAATCTGTCAAAAAATCAAAAATCAGAATTAAAAGACGCAACTCACGATTTTCGTCGCAGAAAATTATGTTGTAAACTACCGGTTCTACTAAAGTACAGATTAGGTTAACAGATTAGGTTAAAAAATTATGTACGACTTAACAATTATTTGATTTGTCTCTCAACCTGGAATAAATTTGTTCCAATTTTTGTTTTATTAACGTTCTAATCGTATGAAGCCGCCAGGTGGCGCAAGAATCAGTAACGTTGACTCACATGCAAGTCATAATGATTGGCTGAACCATGAGGCCATAATACTGTTTAGCACAATTTAAATCATTTTGGCATAAAAATTTTGGCATTAAATTAAGTGTTTAGGGGTATTATCACTTCTTCTGAAGAGCGATTCATTTTTTTATTCTATGAATAAATAGAAAAATGTTAAAAAATTGTTTTTCCATTTAGCGCTGATGCAGTCATAACTGATTTGGAAGAATTTATTTCATTAATGGAACTTAATATCAAAAATAACCTCCATATAATTTCTGGTACGATTGAGGCAAGATGTCTAAGATGGGGTAGTGATGTTTCAGACTTGTCTAGCCCAGATATTTTGTTGGTATCCGATTGCTTATATTATGACGAGGTAAATTGTTTTGTTATAATATTTTTAATTGAAAAACTTAAAAAAAAACAAAATTTAGAGTGTACTGCCACTTGCTAAAACGATAAATGATTTGTCAAATGAAAACACGATTGTTTATTTATCTTACGAAATCAGGGAATCTGAAGCCAAAAAAAAAATTGTAAAGGACTTTTTTAATGTTGGTAATTTTTTGCACAAATGTTTTTTTTACGTATTTATATATATATATAAATACGTATTCTTCATCTTTGTTATTGTCATTTCTTTGTTTTTCATTGTTATTAAAGTTAGTATTAAGGCGTCGAGTTGGTCATTGCATTTGTATCTTGGAAACAATTTTAAACAATTTTTATATCTTGTTGTTAAGCATAATAATTTTGAATTTAATGATTGAACGGTTCCGGAGATATGACGTGAAACGTGCACACAATTTCAAAAGAAATCACGGTAAAAAAACCGATGGTATTCATCTATATCACAATCCTTCAATAACTGGTTACCGATGATATACACTAGTTCTGAAACTGCATTGTTTGAAACTGATCTCAAAACTGTAGCGACCTTGTAGGGTCGAGGTTCCGAGGATCGATGTTACACTTCAGGGTGTGGGGCATTCAAGATTTTGTTACGGAGTGTTACAAGGGCTGGAGCGTTTTAGAGTTGTCACGCAACAAATTTATTTCTCAAGTTCATCGTTAATAAGTTTAATGTGTCATTATGAATAAAGTTTACTAATACAATAGTTAATTTTTCTGTTTATCTTTAAAGTTTTTCAAAATTTAAATTTAGGTTATAAATTAGGATACAATAGCCATGAGTTTTAACATTTTATTCAATTAAATTAACGCAGCATTTCATTGACTGGGTAATTGAAATTTATTTTGAAAAGTAACTAGAAAGTGTAAAATCGCATTCAGCGCTGTATGCGTTTATGTGCTAGTCCGTGTTTGTGTGGGTGAGTGATTATTTCTGTTGAAATTATCGACGTATATCATTTCAGATTATCTCCAAGACGTTCACAGTGCAAGATGTTCCGAAGCATTTGTTAGATGAGGAATTTTGTTGCGACGACATAAAGATGTTGAAAATGACCAAGATCAAATTTTCCTGATCTGTTTAAAGACTGTCGCCATAAACGTCAAAAATTTGTGTTTTTTTTTGTCGTTGAATTAGTTCGTAGTTTTCAATAATAAAGAAAAACAGAATAAAATAAATTTATTAATTAGCATTTAGTGTTATTTGGTTGTTGAAAAATGGTGGCTGTCTTCCAACACTGCACAGCTATTATTTAGCTTTATTTCAATGTTTTTATGATTTTTATCTTTATATCGCATCGCCGGTCCAGATAGAAATACAAATGAGCAGTGGGATGATAACCTGATGGCTGAGGTCGCCTGGTGCTGTTTCGCAGTTTGTGCAGTGACCGTGGGTTCTAACTCGACAAAAAGGTGCTTGTCTATCCAGAGGCGTAGTTAGGGGGCGGGGGTACATATGTCCCCGGGCGCCAAGTACAGGGGGCGCCAAAATGAGGCTGACAAAATTTTCACAAGAGTAAAAATCTTATCACAAGCTTCAACATGAGGTGTCAACACGTTTTTCTCGGCTAAAAGACCTGAATAATAAATTTGGGTTTTTGCTGGACGTTAAGACTATTCTATCTGCCACAGATGAGGATGTTATTCGTTTAAATTGTACAAATTTTTACGACACGGACATCAACGGCTACGAACTTTTCATCGAAATTGTGATTGCAGAATGCTGCTCAGTAACCGAACTGAAGCTCTACCAGAATGTCTTTTGGATCTTCTCGGTTTCATTGTGTTTTGTGGAAATTACGTATTTCCGAATCTGCGAACTTCGCTACAAATTTTATTGACAATAGCAGTTTTAATTGCAAGCTGTGAGTGATTGATCACTCAGCAAATTGAAACTTATTTTTTCGTATCTGCGTGCATCAATGGGACAAGATCGTCTCAGTGATCTTGCTCTTCTCAGTGTTGAAAGAGAAACATTGGAAATAACAGATTTGAATAACATAATTAATTAGTTTGCGACAATGAAATCTAGAAAAATAAATCTTGTAAACTATGTAAATTATCTTTGACAGTGACTGAATGTATATTTATGTTTTATCTTTAAATACAATGTTCCATTAAGATTTGAATTGTTTTTGTAAGCAGAAATTTTTACAATGTTAGAAATTAAAAATGTGATTAAACATGGAGAGGGGGTGCCGCAATTTTATAGTTTGTCCCCGGGCGCAAAATACCCTGGCTACGCCTCTGTGTCTATCGCATGCTTCGTGTATGATGCGTCGTTTAGCACGTTCGTATACGCTGTTGTTGATTCCTCTAAACCTAGGAAGAGTGTAGTAGGCCTTCAACCTTTCAGGATTTATTCCAATTTGTATGTTTTGAAAATTGTTATACAATTATTGTCTCGGTTTGGCGACGGAAATTTATGGTTGGACTTGAAGATTTTTGTAGGTCCGTTTACGTAAGGCATCGCTAAAACTCACTTTGTCTACTTCAACTCTTATCGCCTCAATAAATTCTAGTAAGATTAATAATTTCACTTAAAAAGCGCCAATGCAAGCGACCCAGACACTCTCGAAATTAAGAAATTAATTATAAACCACGGCAAGTTATTTAAAATAGTTCGATAGTTAAAAACAATATTACAAAATTAAAATTATAGTTAAAGTAAAATAATAGTAGTTAATTAAAAGCAACCTATAAAATTATTGTTTAATTGAAAGCGGAATTAAAATAATAAGTTTTTAGAATAGAATTGAATCCACAGAAGGAGCTAGAACGAGACAACAATGAGTATCTTCAAAGCATCAATAACAGGGATATCACTGTTACCAATCCTGATTGATGTCAGGTCATGCAACTTGTTAATTGAATGAAATGAACCCAGTGGGATGACCTGTTTTGTTTGAATTGAATTGAAGTTAAGAAGAAACCATCTCTCCACGGCAGCAATGCACGTATAATGATGGTATTCACATTTGATGAATAGTCCTTACTGTCCAGTGAGATTAAGAGTTGTGTATCATTCTATCTTTAGACCATCTACTTCCATCATAGATGGTTTAACACTTCAGCCGGTTTATTCGTCTAACAAATCGTCAAATATGCTGACGTTACGAATCGAATGAATGTGTTAACATCCCATCTCCAAACACCAACACCATCTAAACTGAAATGGATTCACTTAGTTCAGCAGAGTAATCTTTCACTCAATCTCACCAAATCATTTTAACAAATTATTTATAACAATTGTAAAAAATATCACATCACTTTTAGAACATCCAACAATCGTTTGCAAAAACAAAATCAAAAACCGAGCGTCAAAAAATTGTGAACGCTCATTGATTTGAACAAATTCACTAATTTTGGCCCACGGCTAGGATTTGCAACCAGAAAACGGTCAGTGTATAACAAATTTTTACATGGTACATTATTTGTTGACGTAATACTTGAATATACCACGCACTTGTGCATGTTTCTGCGTTTCAAAACTAATTTTGCCAACTCCGGTGATTGTGAGTGCTCCCCAAAGTATAACAGAAGCAAGACATTTTACAGATTTTTGACGATTTTTGACGAATACGTTGGTTATGTGTTTTTGTTAATTGAAATGCGAGTTTCGTTAGTAAATAAAACATGTGGCCAAAAATCTTCACTTTTGTTCGAGTTCTTTGCAAAATTCAGCCTCAGTATCCGACGTCTATTTTGTTAAAAGTGATTTAAGTGGGACAACTTAAAAAAAGCCTAAATTTTTACAAATATTTTTTGATGATACTGGTTTCAACATTTAAACTAATGTTCTTCAATTCTTGTGGAAGTTATTCAGATTTGGTTGGGGCCACACAGATGGCAATTTCAATGATTCAGGGCGTACGTAGGGATGCTTTCGGAAATATGCCAACATTTTTTTAACCTGATAGAAATTGACATTGTTTATGTATGTTTTTGAATGAAAAACTAAACAAGAACTAGAATAAATTGTAAATGATTGAATTCGATTCATTAATTTTGTAGCGCAATCTTTATTGCTCCCACACTTGATTAAAATAATAAGAAGAACATTTATATTGCGAAGATTCACACCGTTGCTCCAGAGGCAACCGGAGCCTGTGTGTAGGCTATTAAAAAACTCAGTCAGCAGTCAGTAAGAGTGCCGTGTCTCGCTTTGCTGTTACGTGATGGCATGGTTCGAGTATCGTCTGTCTGAAACTCAAAGACCTCATGCGCGTATGACGCAGCGCTTGCGTCGTGTGATGTGAATCAAACAGCCTTTGCGGCATGAAAGTTAAGGTGCGAATATAGAATACCATGTTAGCAACTCTGCGTTTGACAAAGCTGCTTTATAAAGAATAAAAAATTATTCGTCTTCTATGAAAAAAATGTTGGTGTTCACAATTTTTCGAGCGGTAATGCATTGAATAAATGAAGTTTATTATTAATATTATTTTTTTAATAATCCGTATCTGACTAACGCAGAAACTGTTACAGCATGCAAGACAATATTTTAAAATAAATAAATAGATGAAAAATGAAAAAAAAATAGCAAATTAAAAATCCACAGAATAATGGGAATAAGTTTACGAAAATTTAAATGGGATTTTATGCTTTGAAAAAAACAATCATTAACAAAAAATAATATGAACATTTACATAGCGACGATTCACATCGCTGCTCCAGATAATGATTATTGAAAGTAAATTTGACCTCTTGTCACAGACTGATGTACTACGCCATCTTACTTCTCACTTTTCTATTTCAAAATTAACATCGACATTTTACAGATATCTGTTTCAAATAATTTCAACATCATGTTACAACAAAAAATAATTTGTAATATAACCTACTCAAAATGAAACTTAATGATAGTTTAGTTAGATGATTTTAGTAAGTCTTACTACTAGTAACAATAAAAATAATAAATTAAAAATGTGTGACCGGCTACTTTTGTGCTCGATAATTTGTGCATATACCTACAACAATAATTTCTATCGCTGCGAATTTGATTGTGATGCGTCAACTATTTGATAAGCAATTTAAATATTTGCACATTTTATTAAACGTTGAGTTCAAGTTCTTAGTAAGAATTCATTTTTTCAACTTCATGCTATCTTCTATGACAAGCTTGTAAAAAATCCTATCAATTTTTATTTATTGCTAATTAAATACAAATATTTTTTTTATATTCTAATTTTTTATGTTAATTTTTATATATGCGACTATGAAATATATGTTTGAAATAAACGAAGCGTTTTAATCATATGTTGTTAAATCAATTAACTTAAATTTTTTATTCATTTTTTTTTATTCATTATTCATTATTCATATTTATTATTTATTTTGACGATATAGGCGAAAAAGGACAAATAAATTTTAATAAAACATTCAGTCGGATAAAAATGTGTTTTGTTCGCGTGTCCAGAGGATGACTTGGACTTCCGCGCCTGAATTATCCACAAATTGATTTCAAAAAATTAAATTAGGAAGGAAGCGAGAAAATCTCAAGTCTGAAGCAGGCTCGAATGTCTTAACGAAGCCTCGCTTGCCGTATTATTGAATTTATTTCTTACGAGTATATAATGCATATTGCCGTGTGAAGAGGTTGCGTGTGTCACGTGCGTTGAAGTACTTACATCAGTCATCACGTCTCCATCTATCTGACCTTTTATATATCTCTTCCCATATATAACTGGACACGATAGTACAAATTAATTTAACGCAAACGAAATTTTTAAGAACCTGTTCAACTTTATCATTAAAATTGTTACGAATGTTTTATGAGCCTGAACAAAACATTCTATATTATACATTAAAACAAAAAAATGTCTTCGTATGTAAAAACAAACCGGCCCGCAAAACAAGCACACATGCACGCGCATCAATTCGCGACGATGCACAGAAGAAAAACATCCGCAAACAAACAGATGTGTCCAACTCATATGCATCTATACCTACTATAAGTCTTTGAAAAAGAAATATATAAACACATGTATGTATGTTTGCAGAAACGAAAAACGCATCAATGCACACACACACATGCACACTCATAAAAATCTACAAAGTTATCAATTTAATGGTATAAAATATGAATCTATTTGATATAAGGTTACTGAAGGTTAATTATAGGGCTCTAGCAAGAAATATGTGTTTTGATTTTATATTATGGATGCGAAACATAACGTACGTCGTAAACAAATTTATTTTTAGGATTATAACTAAAAAACATTCAGAAATGTTCAAAACGTTGTTGGATGGTAATTAAAAATCGATGGTGTGCGCTCTATTAATCGACTTTAGGGAACGTGTTTTGTAAAGTCAATTCTCTTATTTGCATATTTAGACGAAGCGTGGAAAAAATTCATCAAAAAGAGAATAAATGTAAAATATTATATATATATATATAATATTATATATATATATATATATATATATGTGTGTGTGTGTGTATATATATATATATACACATGAATATATAATTATTTATAAAAATCACTGCGTTTTCGTCGTTGTTCAACTTGGTTGAGTTTCTCTTGTTCTAATAGGAACAACCAAATTATAGTGCCGATTTATACCACCGTCTCAACTGCTGATATATATATATATATATATATATATATATATATATACTAACCCTAACCCTCCACCTTTCATTTAATTTTAATGTTTTAATGTACATTCAAAACTTCACCCGCCAATCCTTATGACCCCCCTACTTCTTTTTTCACAATTCGAACACTGTATATATATATATATGTATAATATATATATACATTATATATATATATATATATTATATTATATATATATATATATATAGGGTGAGAATTTCCGACCTGCTCTCGCAAGTACGAGAATATATAGGTGTATATATATTGCACAGAAAGATAGCAACTCACGTCATCATCTCCCACTAACCTTTTTGATAACTCAAGTTCAAAATTCAAAGCTGATATATAATTTTAGCAGTATTTCACAATATACTTATTAATTAGAATTTGCATGTCTACAAAACATGATGGTCAAAGTTAGAAAAATTTTGCCTCTTTGATGAAAGAAGGTTTGAGCGAATTTAAAATTTGAAAACTCTCAGTCCAGGGTTGTACACACAATGTTCATTTAATTTTTTTAATTTTAAGGCGCTGTAAATGGCAGAACAGAATTTGTAAAACATTTTATTAAGAATGGTGGCGGCGTATTTTATCCAGATCACAATGAATATTACATCAATGTGTTTTTTGGGTGGTGTCAAAAAATTTGTTATAAGGATGATAACATTTCATTTAATAAGCTTGCGAATGTTACTAAAAGTTCTGTTCATGTGTTTTTATTCACTGCGTAGATTTCTGGATTTCTGTTTCATCTAACAAAGGAATGCACAGATTATGTTTGCTCTGCTGATGAATTTCATTCAGACTATCAACACAATCCACGCCATTTGCGCATATAACGGATAACTCTATGGATGGCAAATTATGTAAACAAAAACAAAAATAAGTCAACGGCATTCAATTTTTTTATAAGTGTGTTTTCATATGTTTGTAATCGTAGAAATTTTTGTTAATTCAAACTGTTGATTTAATAGGAACACAGTTTTGCATCCGTTGGATGCAAAACTGTGTTCCTATTAAATCACATACATTGTCTAACTACTTATATACATATAACATATTTACGTAATTTATCACGCAAGTCTGACATACCCAAAGCTGCTTAAATGTAACAATTTACTTGCTTGGTTGAGATTAAACTTCTGCGTAACAAAATCTGTACGCACAGCCATGTCTTTCATACATAATTGTATGTTAGAGCTATGGCAGGGATGTGCTCCTTCGTTGTGAGCAGTTTTTATATTAAAAGTCAGTAAAAGTCGTCAGCCATCAATATTTGCCTACCCCGTCAAAATGTTGCTCCCCGGTCAACGTTTAAAAATGTTGGCCTTTCTGCGAAAGTTGTCTAGATCCGCCACTGTATAGCAGTAAGCACATACGAGTTAATCAATTAGCTTGTAAAGCGCTATTTCCGCAATGTTCAACAGCGCTCCTCAATGAATTTTGCAAACAGATGGGTTTTGAGATCCACTCTGAACTTTGTAAATGATGGAGAAATAGTCAGAGAAGGTGGTAGAGAGTTCCAGAGTAAAGGGCCAAAAAAGCAAGAGCAAATTTAGCAAAAGAGTGTTTAACACGAGTTAAGAAGTGAGAAAAAGAAGACGATCGTAAACCGGAGCATTTAGGTTCAATTAATATATCTTATAAGTACTCAGGAAAGAATTTAGATTGAGACTTATACATAAACGTGCAAATTTTAAAAATTATTCTATATTTTACAGGTAGACAGTGAAATATATGAGAAAAGAAAGGGGCACGAGCAACTAGACGAGCAGCAGAGTTAAAAGCTTTACTTAAAGGATAGAGTGTAGAACCGGGAAGACTATAGTAGAGCGAGTTACAATAATCAATCCTAGATAAGACTAACGAAGTAACAAAAGGGAAAAGAGAAGAAAAGGCAAAAGTTTAGATATTAATCTGAGAAGAAAGAGACATACTAAAATCAAAGATAAAGCCTAGACTAAAAAACTTGTGAGAAACATCAAGAATTTTAGAATCAGGTATGATAATAGGAAGAATAGTAATAGCGTGTTTAAATTTATTTAAAAAAATTAATCCAAATTTAGAAGGATTAAGTTGAAGACACATAGAGTTAGACCAGGCGATAATTGAAGAAAGACAGAGATAGATTAAAAACATTCTCGAGATTAAATGAAGGAAAAAAATATAAATATAAGAATTATCAGCATATAATTAACTAGTGAAAGAAAAATTATAATTAATACGAGGTAGTTTAGAAGTATAGAGTATAAATAGAAGAGGGCCAAGAATAGAACCCTGAGGTACCCCGAAAGTAAAAGTAGAGGAGTTAGAAGAAGAATTATTGAGAACAATAGAAGAAAAACGATTACAGAGATAAGAAGAAAACCAAAATAAACAATAATCAGTAATATTAAAAAAAAGATCTAGCAGCCTCAAGAGAATGGTATAAAATTAAAACTATTATTAAAACTTTTAAATTTTTATTGCTTTGAATTAAACGTTTGAGTACAAAATGATTTACCAAAATAATGGTAATGATCAGTGTGAGACAACTGAAAATTCAGGTCATACTGTGTTGGAGGTGAATGTGATTTTTAAATAGAATACCTTAGTACCATTTAAGCTTACAAACATGCCGAGACTGTTCAACACTCATAACAAAAAATCAACAATGAAACACCGGACATTCATAAATGCGAACAATTCAGATGAAATATTGATTATCTCGGCAGTCTCGGTTGAATGCAGCGAAAATACAAGCATGCTGGTAGGAGGCGTTAATGTTAAACTTATTTATATGAAGCTATGTGAAAATGTGAAAATGGGTTGATAACTCGGGATATCGTTTTTGATCAAAGAAGTTACGCATGTTTGAACGGTTTTTGAAAGTAACCAACCAACGCTTTAAGAAAAATTAATAATAACACGATAAAAATTGAATTAACAGGACCACTTAATTTTTATTAAAATTACGGTTACAACATGTGAGAGTGATATCGTCAATGGAACATTACAAAAAATGTAAAAATAGTAATGGGACAAATCCAAAACCTTGAGATCCGCGGTTTCTGGATCCAATTTCAAATATTGATGATAAATTAAATCCGGACGGATCCGAATGCAATTTGCATACGATCCTAAAACCAGAAATGTCGTTTCAAAACGAAAAAGTTTACAAAAATATATTTTGTTTTTATGAATAAATAGGAAAAATGTCAATGAGTTTGTACACCTATGAGTGTTCATTACATAATATTTATTGATATTTAGATTCCCTTTTTCAGCCGATAAAAAATTTATTTTGTTCTTTAGGTTTATTTTGGACCAGTGAAATGTTGGATTCTCAATTTTAGATCCTCGGAAGCAAATCTTTTCGAATCCATGGATTCGGACCTGAATCTAAATCTAGATCCGGAACCGTCACATTCCTAGTAAAAAACAACATTTTTCATTTCAAATCACAGGTTTATAACTCTCATAATTCCGCTCTCCCAAGTTGTTATTCAAGAACGATAATTTCAACAACGACTTAAAACCAATTTGAACATTATCGTATAACATTTTTTAAATATCCAACACAAACTCATTTCTAATAAATTATAGTCTTTTTGTTTTAATGTTCAGTTACTAACTCTCACCTTTACCAACGTTTCATTATTAATTATTACATTGATTAAATAATATATTTGTAATCACATAATAGAATTTATAATGTTAATTTTAAACAATTGCAAATGTCCCTGCATAAAAAAGAAACATGTTTTCTTTATTCATGTGTTTAATGAACAAGAATAGCATTGAAAAAGTTTAATTTTTTAAATATTTTAATATTCAACAAATGTTAAAAATGTTTAATATTCAATAAGTATTTCAAATTTTTTACCTTCATTTTTCCAAATTACTTGATTGCAAATTAGACGTAGTAAAAAATTTAATACTAATAAGTCGTCATTAAAGAGAATATCAAATCAATTAAATTTTCAAATATTTCTTCACGACATTTGCAGTACATGGTTCAGATACGATATGTAACAAATAGCAAGACGCAGAATTTCGATCTTCGACAACTTTTTATCCGGCGGCAAAGTGGGCAGCAGCTTTCGAAGTTTTCCAAAGGCCAAATTAAATGCCTCCACTCTGATTCTTTCTCTCGATGCGTGTGCGCTACGATATTTCTCTGTCGCTCTTCTGTTTCTTCTACGTTCTTCACGAGAAAAATTGGATGATGTTGAAGAACTCTTAGGAAGCGCTCCTTGAGGAAAATATGCAGATTTGTGTAACAATCCTTGCGGATATCTTGAAGAAATATTTCTAAGAGTCGCAAACTGGTCGTTCAACTTTTTTTTGGAATATTTTTCAATCTGCTTGATGGAATGATAATTAACAACGCCATCCAGTGAAGACAATTTTTCACTGTTGAGACAGTTAAAACTATTTTTTTTGGAAAAATATAATGGCAAATTATTATTAATTTCGAAAAATTTGTCTTCATTGTCGCGGTAACAACAATTCAATTCAGAACTCTTTTGTTCAATGTGGCAGCCATTAATTAAACAAGATCTGCTGTCCAACTGAATTTTTTTTTCTTGCAACGTAAGTGATGGATCATTCATTTCAAAATACTACTAAAATTATGTTATATTCCAAAGCTTTATTGAATCAACGATATTTATTTTAAAAACTTTTTTACATGAAATTCAACTTCGTGAAGAAAACTGTAGAGGGAAATGAAAAATTTGTTCAAACACGTTAGATAAAGCACGAAGTTGGGCAGATGATTGCATAGGTCGGCGCGTAGCATGTGAATATGTAGTGGCGTGTGTTGATGAAGTTCTCATTTGTTACGCCCCTTCTATCATGGGCGGTACGATTCGCTGAATGAATCAAAAGAAGTCGCTGTCCAATTTCTGAGTTTACGCCTTTCATTATCACGACATCATCTTTCATGTATCATAACAACACGCAGTTCTCTCCTAAAATCATTAAAAATAAAATCGCCAGATGCCTAGTCGATAGAATTGTTAATTTGTTTTGGCTCAGTCTACATGGTGCAAGATAAAACAGTTTTTTTTGTTTTATGGATAAAGAACAATACTTCACTTAAAACGAGGTGTTTTTTATTGAATGATAAAATTTTTCATTTTAAATGTGCATGAAAACTGAGGAACATTTTTTACCTAAATTTTGATAGGTACATTCTGAATACCAAAAAAGAATTATTTCCTACAGAAATTATTCTAATCAACAAACATGACAAATTTTCTAAACTTTGCATTAGTGTGCAAAGGTCGTTGTTCGTGGCAACGCAAAATAGACCGACTCGTTTAAACTGCACCCGAGCATGTACACTTCTAGTTTATTTTCACAAAAGAATTGAACTGCTGGACTTTATCGCCATTCTCCGATCCATTGCAACTTATCCGCCAAGGCAGAGAGATGTGCTATGTGAGTCTCAAGATAAATTGTTTGCATTAATGGTCTAGCACTCTGATCAAGCATACTTTTCTGAAGATTGGAACATAAATTGTTAAAATTTGTAGTGCTGCTAAACAATACTGCACAGGCAATTCGGTTGACCTTTCGACGTTGCTGTACAACCAGTGATTGAACGATTTAATATAAATTTTAGCCGGTTTTTAGCAAGAATTGCGCATATAATCAAAACGATCAGGCAACATTACCTAAAAAAATAAACCTTTTGTTTTACGACAACAATGAATTTAACAAAATAAAAATCATTCAGCTCAAATATTATCTACAATATACAAAAACATTTTTAGTTGAGAAATTTTTAAAACCAAACAAACGACTTTGAAAAATGTTAAGCTCATTAGTTTCGTTTCAGGCAGTTTAACTCAGCTATTTAGGCTTTAGTATTGTTGACTAGTTAAATGTTAAACCACCTAATTTTCGTAAATAAAGTGAACATTTGTTTTTTAGAGACTAAACAAATATTTATTTTATTCAAAGACCGTTAAAATTTCGTCGTTTCATAATTATTTGCTAATTCTTGTATCGATTTTATAAGCAAAAACTTAAAAAATGAACGAAATAAAATATTAAAATAACTGCAAAGTTAAAAAAAGAAAATGTAGGTCAAAATAAATGCTAGGTGTGTCAATTAAAGCCGAAACACAAAAACAAACCAACTAGAATAAATATAAATTTTTTACGGGTAGCCTGATGACATTACCTCAGCCAATAATTCATAATGTACAAACCGGATATTTTTTTAAACACATGTTAACAACATTGCTTTGTTGAAATATTGAACATAATAAAATAAATTCAAATAGATAAACAGATTACGATACTCTACGCACATTAATGTTTTCAACGGACAGCCAAATTTCTTCTTTAGGCTTAGCAAAGAGTCCATAATGAGAAGAAACAACTTGGTCGGGTGCTAAAGTTAAACTAAAGCATTCCAACACGTGTGCAAAAAAGAGCGCTGCCTGCGACATTACTATTGACGACGCAGGACAAATGCGTTTACCGGCAAATCCAAAATATTGGCTTGCAAAAGACGAGCAAGGAGTGTTTTTGGATGCGTGGCGATCTGGATTAAATCTGGCGGAATGAAAAAGTATATACATTAAACAGAAATTACACAAATAATTAAACAGACATTATATAAACAATTAGACACAAAAATATGAAGTCATAAAAAAACAAATAATTTTATAATTCGGAACGAATTGTGTTACCTGATTGGTGAACGAATTTTACTAGTTAGGTGACACAAAAGATGATACGACATGCTTCAATTTGCCAGGACACCCGGAGGCATCGGGTTTGATGAAACGTTGCAACCAGACGTTGAAAAACATGATTATAAAATTGACACAAGAAAACCAGAAGTTGACATCAAGTATCACATTTGTACTATAGTGTTTAAAAGAAATACCATCGTCCACAACTCACTTTAGTCCGTATACGTTATTACACGAAATGTTGCCTCGGGGTCCGCTCACTACATTAAAGGGAAACCGGATCGGGGACAATCAATTTCTGCTAAATGTGGAAAAAGGTCCGGAAGAATATTTGATGTAGTTAAAACATAACCAGAAAGGGAGCTAAAACAATATCAATGACAATACAATTTGAGAAACACTGATGGGCACTACGCAGTTGGAAATAAAGTCATCATTTTAACGGCGACTCAAAAACTTTATAAGTGGCGCAATCAGTGCAGAGGCCTGTTACTGTTACAAAAGTACTGTCACCATACTCTTACATGGTAGAAATTAATTAATAAACTCACGAATCAAATACTATATCATTCAATATTCGCCAGCAATTAATTAAAATAATATATTAATGTTAATGTCAAAACATGCAATAACGATTGTAGATTGCTGTTATTTAGTTGACTATATATTAATGTTACAACAAAATTTATAATTATTTTATTAACATTCACGTCTGTGCTCTTTAAGCTAAATAAGCTCATGAGGTTTGCCGAGATCTTTCGTAATAATAATAAATTAAGTGCTTCTGTATTTCTGTAGCCAAATAGCCAAATCATAAAGGCGCAATACAAATTAAACACACACACACACCCGGGGCTGAGGTGATACTGCTACCGGGCGCGTCTCCATCAGCGGATAGGAGAATGTTCGCTGATCTTCAGATCAGAGGGTAGGAACGAAATAAAATAGTTCCCGCGGACAAAACACACCCCAAGTCAAGGCGTGCAGAAACCGTACCGAGGACTGAATGGCGCCAGGGAAATGGCGTCGCAAACGGTTCCCCTGGGTGTATTTAAGAGACCTTGCTTCAGTAACCAGGGCTCTGCTGGAGTGACACATATTTCCCGTGGTACTCGTGGGACTAAAATGAAGACAACAAAACTTACTGTAAAAAAATGGAGACATCATTGATAACAGGGATCACGCTCAACAAGACACAAATGCTGAAATGAAGCGAATAAATAACTGGGAACAATTAAGCCAGCTTGTTGATGGGCTATTGGATTTTGTTAAACCAAAATCAAATGTTCATAAAGAGATTAAAAGCAGGAAAGTTGAAAGTTTATAAAGTTGAAAGCGTTGGAATTGAGCAGAAAGACGCAAACGATTCAAAATCTATTGCCAAGTGCAGTGTTTTTTCCACGAATATCAAGGGTGCGGAACCAAGATGAATCATCAGCAATAGATACAGGAGCTGATGCAGACAATGAATCGGCTGTTGACGCTAGGTCTGCCAAGCGAAAAGACCGAACACCTTCAGAAAGTGGGAGCAAATTAAACAAAAGAAGAAAAAAAGGACTAATAAACTTTTCTCCTAGTGAGATAGTAGAACAACGTCATAACAATGAATGTTAACTGGTACAAAAAAAAAGAAAGACAAGCAGAATGAACGCCAGGAACAGCTTCTAAATCAGCCTTTGCTGAAGTCGAAACCAAAAATGCAAAAACATAGACCAGATGCTCTGATCATTCGACCCAAAAATAAGAAAAAATACTCAGAAATATTATGCCGAGTTAAAAAAGAAGTCCCAGATAATCAAGTCTGCACTACAGTAGATAAGATCCGCAGGATAGCCACTGGTGACCTGTTAATTGTATTAACAAAAAATAATGTAGATAGAGGCCAAGGTTTGCATAAAACTATATCTGACCTCCTTGGAAATGAAACCACAGTGGTTTGCAAGGGTCCTCTAAAAGACCTGGAGATACGGGACTTAGATGATGTCACTACAAAAGACGACATTCTTCTAGCTTTGCAAACAGCAGCTGGAGAAGGTAATGAAATTACGATGGATGCCATCAAATCATTACGTAGAGCATACCGAGGTACGCAGATTGCATCGATAACTCTGGCAGCTCCCATCGCAGAAAAATAATAGGTGAAAGCGGCAAAATAAAAATTGGTTGGGCCAATTGCAGAATTATGTCAGTGAAGAAACCAATCACGTGTTATAAGTGCTGGCATTATGAACATCTGGCAACGCAATGCAAAAGTTCTCTGGATCGATCAAAACTTTGCATTAAATGTGGTAAAGGAGGGCACAAAGTTGCGGATTGTAAAAATAAAGCACGATACGCATTATGTGATGAAAATAGTCTTTCCGGAAGTAGTGCTCACGTTTCTGGTTCTAGTAGATGCCCACTTTATAAAAAAAGCACTTCAATTGACTAAAGGAAAAAGACTAAAACATGAAGATATTGCAATATTGAGATATTGAGGTTGTCATTTTTTGTTGTATATTTATTTTTGGTTTATAGTGATTGACTATAAGCCGTGAAATCCTCGACAGCAACATCAAAGTAATATACCAGAACACCAACTACACGCATCTGAAAATTGCAGAAGCAGTCCTAATTGACATCAATAAACCAAAAATAAATATACAACAAAAATGACAACCTCACTCCCAACCCGGCGCTTAACCAACAATGAAAACAAAGAAGTTATAAAAACTAGCATTGTAAATAGTGACAAAGAAGAATATGATGCTATCGATGAAGAAAAGGAAACCTACGAAGATGGACCAGCCAATAAAGAAATCTGACACTTAATTTCCATCTAAGTTCACTTTGACAAAGTGAATATTTCTCTATATAAACTAAATCGCACTGATGATGGTTCATTCGGAATCGAAATATGGCCTTATTTGCAGCATGAATTCGGAAAATAAGTTTATTTTGAATTTTAATAAACTAAACGTTCACCAAAAAACTTAAGTGAGAAAAATCGAAAAAACGAACTACAAACATATTAACGCCAAACATTCGGTAGAATTTATAGAATATTGTAAAAATTATGGTCTATTACCAACATATATATATATATATATATATATATATATATATATATATATATATATATATATAACAGTAATACAATAACAACAATAATAATACAAATAAAAAATAATAATAATGCAATTTAATAACGAATGACCTACTTGTCGGGTTCGTGAAAAATTGTTGGATTAGATGAAACGACACCTAGGGACTGTATGACTGGAGTCTGTGTTCATTCAACCAAAAGGATTGATATTGAATATTTTAAAATGCGGTTTGAAAAATTAACATAGGATGTTATTTTCGAACATATTAAAAATATGTTTGAAATATTTTTTATTATAATGTAGTGTTATTTATTAAAAATCGCAATGCAAAAGTATGAACAATTTTTGGAAGTCAGAAGACGAAGTCAAAGTCAAAAAACTTTTCAAGAAGAACATTTTTAATGTAGAAGTCAAAGATTGGCATATTTTAGCCGACTCCTCGAGCTCAATCAGTTTGCTTTAGTGTGAACTTCATGTCAGAAAATTAATTAGATCAATTGGAGTGCGAATTTGCATCCCATAGAATATTTTTTTGGCTAACGTTGTCATAAGCTGGACGAAGTAATAAACGTCATTTGCTAAAATTAAAAAAAATTAACGCATTATATTGTAGAGATAGACGATTAACACCAATAATACCAACTGATACAGTGGAGCACTAACATTAGCAGGTATCTTGCTGTTTTGAATGACTATGTCTGTGTTTTGAATGCGTGCTGTATGTGATACGATGTTAGCACAACGTAAGGTTTCCTGGAAAACCTTTTTGAAATACCTAACAATTTTCAAACAAACAATTTATCAACTCAAGTTAACTGAGGTAATGTATATATAAGAACACATAACATTTATCTGTTTTTTGACTCAAACGTCATTTACTACTAACTTCTTTCTGTCGTTTTATCTAGTCTTTTACTAACTGACTAAAAATAACAACTTATGATCAAACATACGAATTTGCTATATTTAAAATTTTGTTTGCAACTTGTGAAACTAAGAATCAATTGCACAACTCAACATAATTGACAAATTTAAAATTTAATAACAGGAAGTGATCTTTGAATGCAAGACTTATATCATAGGCGCACCTACTTGAACCATGCACAAGTTGAAACTTGATCTGATGATGGTAACAAATGAGAAAACCTTCTAAAATTTAAAAGCTGAGTAACAATGAAACATTATAAAATAATATTTAAATAGAAACATAGCTGAAAGTTTTGAGATGAAAAAAAAGGCAAATTTATTAAATTAATTGAAAACGTATGTGAAAACTATTTTTCGACAAATTAATGGAAAGATAAAAACCAATAGCACAAAACAAAATTACTAACTTGAATTCATTACAGTTTGCCAAATTTATTTCTTCAATGGGAATGGAGCCCAACTCTTTCCTAACTTGATCCTGAACGTGAGGTTCCAAAGCTAAGAAGTACCCCATCCAGGTGAACAGGGAGCAATACTTCATGTAAGCATTTGTGAACAGCAATAACAAAATGGATACTGCCTCTTCCTCACTCAACTGAAGCACATGATCGATAGGAAGTTTAGCAGGATCTGAGACCGTCGGCAACGTTTTGCGAAGTATTAAAGCATCGCTGATGAATGATTTCAATTTCTTTTTGTCTGCCAGTGAAAATGTAGTAAAATAGTAAAAACTTGAATTTATAAAATTAAAATGCATAAATATGAAAAAACATATTCAAGTTTCAGTTATAAACACTTCAATACGAACATTGCTCAAATCTGATATCTCTCAAGCCATCGGCATCTGACGTATCATCCATGTAGTGGCCCACCTCCTGCCAAACCTTATGTCAATTATTTCACGAATGACTCATTTCAAAATATGTATAAAGCATTAAACAACATACAATTTAAACCAAAAATCAAAAAAACAGTACAAATATTTATTGAAATGAAATGCAATTGAAAGCAGTGATTACAAAATATTAGAGAACACAGGCACGCACATTATCAAGATTTCCCTTTATAACGTTGACGTCCTTGCTATTTTCTGCGTCATATCCAAAATGCGAGGAGAGCAAAAACTTAACAACAAATCCTGATATCTTCTCATACAACGGGAAAAACTGCTCGTTAGGCCATTTCAACCATGACGCTGTCTGCTTCTTTAGTATCTGTTTATTATTTCAAACTATGTCAAGTTTATCAGATAAAGTTTAATGTTCAAATTTGCCCAAAATTTTAAATAAGAAAAATTCATTATGTTGAAATCATGTAATGAAAGTAGATATATTTGTATTTAAAAATCTTAATGAAGAAATAATATTATCAGAGAAAAATAAAAAAAAATAACCAAAGTTGCACGAAAGTCATAGACATGAAAGTATCAAAGACTAAAAAATAATTTTAAAGTATATAAATAAATAGAAGTTATTTTAACAATTCATCATCAAAATACCTACAAAGATTAATGAGTAAGAAATTGAGCTGGTTACAAATGACAATAAGGTGATTGTTATAAAATGAAGGTTGATTAACCAAATATGATTATTAATGACAGGAAGTTTCTTCTAATAGTTTTGAAATAGTTAAATATCAAAAAGATAAAAAATCTACCAGAAATAACAGAAATAACTAAAACATAGTATAATTAAAAACTCTCACTTCATGTTCCAGTTTAAGAGAACAACTTGCATATTTTTCATTAAAAATGCCAGTTAAAAAAGCATGTTTTTTTCTTCCTTCAGCACCATTCAAAACAAATGGAGAATTCTCCCCCCACAACAGAGTTTGAGCTTTAAACAGCTCCACTGTTCAAAACAATAATTTTTTTAAACTTACAAATAAAGACATATAAAATTAGTTTCGACCGCTTGGTCAAGTCTGGTTCATCCATATTTGTGGCTCTTCTACATTACTCATCCAGATATTTTGACTCAGAATCTTTCTAAACATTATCATATTTCACACCACCAACAATTTACTCTTCTTGACAATATGCCTCTCTGAATGATTTCAACCAACATGTTTCATTTGCAATATCAACTTACATCTTTCTAAAACTTAGACTCTCTGATCAGCCATGCCAACTTCAACTCTGCTACATTTACTATCTAATGAATGATGTATTAATTTATCATCAAAATTTTCCATCAAACATGTAAAGTTTTTATATTTCAAATAATTTAATTTTAACCTGGTCTGTTGAAAGAATTGGCTTGCTCACTGAACAACTCTGGTGAGGCAACACTCACACACAACTGTGGACCTGCCCAAAATGAACATATCGGCCCATAAGTCTCATGAAGATCGACAAGAAATTCATGCAAACTGCCACAAGCTTTTATGTCAGGATAGTTTCCTTCTCTAAAAAAATAAATTTATATAAAAAAAATTTGAACATTCAGAACCAACAAAAATTTAAAAGAAAGAGATTTAAAATTCTGAGAAGCTATTTAAGTTTGGTTATTTAATTTACTTCTTATGAGTCATAAAAAACAAGAATTCAATAACAATGCTAGTATGTTACATTTACATTAAATTTAAAAAGTACAACTAACAATGGATCAACTGGTTCAGGTCCTGGTATGTCAATCGATTTTTTTGAACCCTAAAAAATTTGAAAACATAACACTTTTCCTACATAATCATTTAAGTAAAACTGATGAAAATATTCTAGAATGAATAAAAAAAGCCAACATCAATGCATACAAATGCACATGACATGATAAAATTTAGAATATCTTATGCGCCTCAGTCACTTGTTATGGCACTATAAAATGACATTATTATTATTAATGCAGAGAATAAAACTTTCTTCATTTTATATTATACATAATACTTAAAAATAATCAAAATAACTAATAATAATAATAATAATATGATTACATTATTAATTATTATTAAAGTATTAGCATATAAATTATAATCTTAATTAAATTAAATATATGATATAATTATTCAACTACATACTACACTTAAAACTAACTTACTAAGTAACTAAGTATGGATAAGTAAAGTCTTCAAAGTTCTGAATCTAAGTTCTAAGTATATTAAATATAATGTATAATATAATCTAATCAAACTAAAATAAAAAATTACTAATCTCAATTAGTCAATCAATTATTATTTTATATCCATATTATGTGGAATTAATTATAATGATTACAACAATACTAACTTAGCCTAATGAAAGACATAAATTAATAATTAGAAAAAATAGCAATGATAATGTATGCCAAAAATAACCATGTATGCCTGAAAAAATTCCTTAAAAATTATAAAACTACCCACTGGCTCTATAATTAATTCTTATACTACAATTATACAACATAACACATTTTTTCTAAATAAAAATTAAATAAGTAATATAATATTTAAAATAAACTATAAATTAAAAATTTAACATTTCTTCAGGTTCAGCAAATCTGCAAATGCAAAGCTAAGGTAGAAAAAGTGAGAAAAAGAAAGGAACTAGATAGTTGAGAAATGAAATTTTGCAAAAATCGGATTTTACGAAGTATAAATAACTTATTTTCTAACTCTAACTTACTGGATACAAGTAAATGACGGCCAATATCAGGAAAACTACAACAGTAGCAGCGAAAATAAGATAATCCAACATTTTACCACCTAACACGATTACACAAAATGAAAACTAAAAATGAACTTAAAGTAAACGTTTTGCTATCCTCGAGAGACACGCACTGTTATTTTTTTGTTTTGTTTTTGAGTTATTTTAAATGTTTGTTGATTGTAAGTTTTATATGCTGAAATTTTCTTATCATTCTTTACGAGATCATAGTTAATTTTGTTTGTTTTTAGAACTTTTGGGGTTACTTTTGAACAATTTATCAGTAATAGCAAATGATTGCTTTTTTTATAAGGAAAAAAAGAAGATAAAAAAAACTGACAAAGATGTTGATAGGAAAATGCCAATAGCGTACACATAAAGTTTGAACTTAGATTTTTTAAAAAGTTTTAGTCGGTGCAAATTAAATACGCTAAAACTGCATTTTAGCTTAAATACAGCACCAAACTAAACCTCCAAATATGTTAGATATTTGCATTTTTCAGCTTATCTCAAAGAACTTCATTGACTCCCAGCAACTAATATCGGGGGCATTATTTATAAATTTGAATAATGGTTGTGGTTAATTTTACTTAAATTTATGCAAATGCTTTTTGGTAAACGTTAAATTAAAGTAGAATTTTTATACTAAAAATCCGTTTAGTTGTCTAGTGAAAGTGACTTATTCACTTGTTGAGAAATCGTTATTAGAAAATAACATAAGCTGGTGGAAAGATAGCTAACAATAAAATGCCTATATAATGTTATAATAATATATAATAATATATAATAATATATAATAATATAATGTTATCCATATCAAAATTATCAATATTTTGACTATTACAATGTTTATTAAAAATGAACTGATTGTAGAATATGTCAATTATTTCTATTTTAAATGTTTCTAAAACACTAATAAGTAGTCAATAAGTCGTATTAACCAATATCAACCAGCACTTCTTGCTCAAGAGTTATGTATAAATTGCCATGATCATGAGAGATATAAAACGAACCAAATTTAACATAAACTTATTTTTCATAATACTGTTATATTTGGTTTCTGGTGACTTTGAACGACGAGTTAATAATAACTTTTCAGTCATGAAGTATCTATAAAAATTTTTTAGGAGAAAAACAAATTTTTGTATACCGTTCGATAAAGTAAAGTGTGGTATGAAAAATTGATAAACGCCTTTGAATCAGACAATATATAAAACAATTGTTAAGAAATATCACTACATTTTCAGCTTTGATCAGTTTCTCTGATTCAATTTTTAAATATTTCGTATCGTATTTTTATCATTGTTTTTTTAACTTATTTAAATAGAAAACAAAGTTTTGAAACACTTTTTATTCATTTTTATCTTATTTATCTTATACTGAACATTTTTTGGTAATCCTTTACCATTTTCAATGTAGTATGTTATCAACTATTGGTTTTATCTGTACGTTGCTACTTCATTGGCTCCAAAGATCACTGCGCCGATTCAATATTTCTCTTTATTAGTTGTTTCTTTGTCGGTAGCAAAGTTTCTGCATTCTGTTGAATATTTATTACAGTTTTCTCTATGTTTATGTAAAGTGCTTCTGCAATTGTAAGTTGAAATGTATTCCTGTTGCGAAATAATATCTTTGTGTTTTTGTTAAATATTTCTCTAGTGATTGCTGTTCCGTGATGACCGTGATTATTTGGTTATAAAAAAATCATTCATTGATTTGGTAATCTCAAAATGAGAGCAACAAGATAATAGGAACCGGTCCACTGGAAACAGTAATATAATAATACTTTATAAGAACTTTATGTTCACGTCATATAAAACGGGTGAAAGAATATTAAGAAATAGAGTCAAGAAGAACGTCAAAACAGTCGATGGTAATGACAAGTTACAACTCAGAATTTACTATGCCAACAACAGAACTTCTCCTGTTCTAAGAAATAACTGTAACGAGAAAAGTATATATTCCATTAAATGTCCTATCGGTGAATGCGGTCACCGAAATTCGGAATATATCGACCACACTACTACTATATTGACGCGAAGATTATCTATGTATACACAAAGAAATTTAGTAAAAAAATAATTTAATTTACTAGAGAAATACTCAACAATACACAAAGATACTGTATCGCAACAGGAATACATTTCAACTTAAATTGCAAAAGCACCTTACATAAACGTAGAGAATCCTGTAATTAATATTCAACAGAATGCAGTAACTTTGCTACCGACAAAAAACTACTAATAAAAAGAAAACAATGGATTCATGCAGAGTGATCTTTGGAGCTAATGAAGTTGGAACGCAAAGATATAAGTAAATATAAGAAACATCCAATGGTTGATAACATACTACATTGAAAATGGTAAAGGATTACTGAAAAAAGCTTGTTCTATATAATACTGTATAATATATATATATATATATATATATATATATATATATATATCCTATCCGTGTGTGTGTGTGTGTGTGTGTGTACATGCGCAAATTCAATCGATCAAATAGTTTATAAAGCGCCATTTCTGTCCGCGATGCTCATCTGCACTCCTCAATATTAGATATATATGCTGAATAATAAATGAATTTGGGTAATTGATCGAATAATTATTTTTATTTAAAAAAGCGACAAATTAGAATATTATAGTATTAAATGACTTTTTAAGTTTTAATAAAAAAAAAAGATTTTTGAATTTGTTCAATGAAGCGTTAGCAAACATCTTTTTTGTTCTTTGATACGGTATAGACATGATTCTTCTATTGAATACTGAAATGAAGTTCGTCCATAGTTCTGTTACCTACGAAAGCGAAGTTTAATATTTTTTTTACTATGGCCATGCACACACACATACTTATACATCCACACAAACACGTACATACACACACCAACGCGCTAATTGATCAATATTCCATTTATCAATGAATGTTGGATATAAATAAGCTGAGGTGCGAATGACGACATGAAACAAGACAGTAGCTTACTTGGAGTTTTTATAAGAACGTGTAGAGTGTGCAAAGGACTATTGTTCAGGCTCACCTGAGTGTAAGCACCATCCACAAACTGACACTTTTTTTCATCAACCTCTTCTTTGGCAAACACAAAGCCATACTTGCAGTCAGTTTCAAATGATTTCAAACATTCGCTTTCACACGTATCGTGGTTTGGAATGTTTTTTGAAATCAAATTAGACAGCGTGGTGTTTTTAAAAGACACAATTGTTAATTTGTCTGCCCCAAATAAATTTCAGAATCAATAAATCAAAGGATGAGGATTAGTTAAAATAATTTATTCAAAATTTTATAACTAAATGTAGAAAGCAATAATTAGTTGTAATTCGTTTTATACAATTGTATACATACTTTCTGCTTTTCCGTAGGCTATTGTGCCTAAAAATTCACTGGCTGTGAGTTGTTCAAATTAATGGCATATTGTTAATAACTTTATTACTTTTTATAATTTAATTCAAACACAAATAATGAAATATTTTTCAACATAAAATTCAAAACGTTAAAAAAATTACATTAATTATTAATTGTTTTATATTGGACACAATTTTATTCACGTTACTCTATATTAAATTTTAGGCTTGGAATTGCCGTGTCGTATTCTTCCCACTAATCTCTTCACTGGAAACAAGAACAGTGTCGACGTCCACCTAACACATTCATCTTAAGTTGCATTGCATGGTTGCGTTGACCCGCTAGAATAAAATGTTATGACGCAAATGTTCAACGTTCGATCTAATTTTTTTATATACATAATTTGTTATACTTTCCACGTTCCTGCAAGATTTCACAAATTTTAATAGACTAGTGATTTTTTTAAAATCTTTTTAAAAGTGTTTCCCATCATTTTATAAAAGATTTGGCTAGTTAATTTTAACATTGTACCTTTCTTCTTAACTTCTGCTCTCAAGATTAGTTATTTTTAATACAATATTAAAGAAAAAAAACACGTGCTGTTGTTAGCGTTGCCAAAATTTTGATTTTGCTGTCAAGTTGAGAATTAACAGAGGTTTCAATTTCAGCTTTCTTTGTGTGTGCATTAAAAATGACTGTGCAGAAAAATTTTGCAATTTTTTGACTCACATGTTTGCAACTATTGTTGCGTAATTTGTTTTAAATTTAAAAGTATGTATTAGGTTTTAGTGGTTGGTGAATAATTAAAAAGTAAATATTTAGAATTATGAATTATTTAAAAGTAACAAAACATTCGCTTGTGTCCAATTTTTTCTGTTTATACATTTTCAACTTACGATTATTCCTGCACGATGGAATGAAATGTTGAATTAAACCACTTTCATTTGAAAGTTTGATGTTACCGTCAGCAGCTATTAAACATTTTTTTCTGCTTTCTTCAAATTGAAACCCATAAAAACATTTACTACTATCGTTCAGACAATTAGATTTGCATTCTTCCACATCCTTAACCTCCACCGCTTTTGACCAAACTTCACTTTGTACGTTGTCTAACACGATCCACTGACACAAGTTTTCTGTCAACATTTCAAAATATTTTGTGTGCAGGTAGAATGAATAAATTTTAAAATTTTCAAAAATTTTTACCTTCACTGATGGAAAATCTTGCAGTAAAAGTTAAAACGACAAAAAAGTAATAACCAAATTTCATTTTAACTATGTTCAAAAGATTAAAATACAGATAGAAATATGAATTTCTTTCGAAAAATTCAACTTGAAGGAAAGTTTATATAACGGTGTTCCAAACGTCAATATTATATTACCGACGCGATTTTATGAAACTCTAAGTAATCAGCTGTCAAAATGTGTGAAGTAACAAGTTAAGTTGAAATCATTCATAAATCAACATGTACATAATGAAAAAGAGTATGTTAATCGTTCAAAGCCAAATAAATTTAAACATTCGATAAGCTTAAAAATCTTCATTCAATTATACATTTGCAAATATAAAATGGTTAGTTTAAAATGGTGATAATGATAACGTATGTAGTAAATAGATAAGTTTTTCCACCTGAGACTATGATATTTAAAGAAAAAGATTTGCTCGCATATTTCAAAAACAACTTAAATAATTTAGAAATCAAATAATGAGTAATGGTTCGACATGTTTATAAACTGGAGGAGAGGTGAAAGTGAACCACCATGAAGATTGTAGATGAATGATTACACAGAAACACAGCTATGCGCCTAACACCATCTGCCGCGTGTCACAAATTTATGCGGTTTTTACAGTCAAAACCTTGATATATTGCAACACGAATTCACTCTAGCTCGTCAATCGATAAATAAGTACAAACATAAATTAATTTTAAAACTTCTATAGTGAAGGGTTTTCTATCTTATATTAACCGTTTCCAAAATTCAAAAATTTTTCTTCAACATTGAAAAACAACCATAGTTAAACATGTCATTTTGTCATATCATCATGATGTAACTTAACTTTTATGATTTAAAATTATCAAAATTGTATAGTTTTTAATTTCAACATACAGTTTTATACAATGTCATCATTGGCATTGCCAATCCTATTATATCGACAATTAATTGTTATATGAAATTATAAAATGTTTCATTTTAAAACCCAACTTTAATTTGGTTATGGGAATATTTAGAAAACGGGACCTAGAAGTTTTACCATGTTTGTTGTGAGAGATGAGGTTGTATCAGTAAGTCAGTGATCCAGAATTCAAAATTTTGGAGGTGAGATTGTTTAAAGTATTTATTTAAAGTAAAACCAGAATCCCAAAAAAGCCAAAATATTCTTCAAGAAAGTTTAAAACGATTTGTCATCATACTGACGCAAGAAGATATGGAATTCATCCCAGAGCCTAAGATACTGTTTAAAGGAAAACAAGAATAGATACTCAACAACATAGATATTACAGAAGAAACGGTAGGGAAGATGTTAGGATCTCTTAGGGAAAATAAAACTCCAGGAATAGGTGAACTGCATCCCATGTTTTTAAAGGAGGTGAGAAACAAAAAAAGAGCCACTCTAACTGAAATATTTGCTGAATCTATCAAGACAGGTTAAATACCAAGAGACTGGAAAAATGCCATTGTCACGTCACCATTAAAAAAGAAAGCAGGAGTGTTACCAGCAACTATAGACCAGTCAGTTTAAAAGTGTATACTATGCTAAGTCATAGAAAAAATAGTGAAAATGAACATGTTTGAACATTTGATGAATAACAAAATAATCAAAAACAGTCAACTCGGATTCATGAAAAGACGTTCCTTTCTGTCAAATCTTTTGGAATTTTTAGAAGTAGTGTATGCAAACGTAGACAGCTAGAACTCCGTAAATATAATCTATTTGGATTTAGCGAAAGCGTTCGATAAAGTGTCACACAAACGACTTACCAAAAAGTTACATGCATGTTAGATATCTGGGAGTCTTCTTCAAAGGATTACCAGCTGGCTGATAAACAGAAGACAACAAGTACAGATCAAAGACAAAAATTCAACTTGGGTTAACGTCACAAGTGGAATTCTTCAAGTTTCGGTGTTAGGGCCTCTACTATTTGTTATATATATTAACGAAATTGACATTGACATATTATCAAAAATATCGAAGATCAATAATGAGAAAGATGCTGAAGTAATAAGACAAGGTATGGCAAGATTATATAAATGGTCGGAGAATTGGCAGATGTCGTTTAATACAGATAAATATGCGGTGATGCAAATGGTAAAAAAACAAAGACTTTAATCGTCAATTGGGCAATAAGGAGCTACGACCAACACAGGAAAAAGACCTTGAAGTCATTATCTATAAAGGCACAAAAAATTGAGACAATGTACTGTGGTTGAGGCCAAAGAAAATCAAATACTTGAATTTAGTAAAAGAACAGTGGTTGGCAGGGAGAAGTCGAACATTTTAAATCTGTATAAAACCTTAGTTCGACCCCATCCTGAATTCTGTGCTCAAGTTTGGAGTCCAGATCTGCAAAAAGACAAGGGCATTTTAAAGAAAGTACAGCGGAGAGCAACAGATGATCAGAGAACTTAAAAATCTTGAATAATAAAGATAGATTGAGAAAATGTGGATTGACAACACAAGAAACAAGAAAATGCCGAGGAGATCAAATACAAGCATACCTAAAAAGAATAAACGCCGTTTACCAGATTTGTGCAACAGGAGAATAGAATAGGATTACGAGGCTTCGGATACATGTTCTCCAAAAAATAGAGAATGCCGTCAAGCAAAGATTCCTTAGCTGTATAGTGGAAAACACCTAAAATATTCTGAGTGATGAGACATTCTCCACGGTATCAATCAACAGTTCCAAGATCAAGCCTGGAAAGTTAAGATATTAGGACACTTAGCTCGCAGTGATTCTCACACAAACTTTAATCTACTGAACCATTTTAAACCCTGTTATGTTATGTTTAATTAGATGAAAATTCATCAGAGTTTAGATTGGTTCCATATTATTTCGAATTTTATTTTTTTTGTGAAATCCTTTTTCCTGTTTCGTTTTTATGAAATAAACTTGTTTTAAAAAAAGTGGTTGTTTTAATAGAAACAATATTTGTATTGTAATGTTAATTGCATGGAATCAATTTTTATTGAAAGACTTGTTGACTGCGAAAATGGGTATAGTTTTATAATTTAAAAAAATAACTAATGAAAACAATTTTAATGCTTGATTATAATTCAAAAAGTGAAATTAGTCAATACGTTTTACTAATATATCAAGTTAAACCAATTATTAAAAAAGCATAAGAAAAAACGAAGATGTCAACGACAACAAAAATTTCTTGAATAAACTAAAAGAAATTTATTTTAAAAATTTAAATTTCCCTTGTTTAAACATATCTATGGATATATCATTACCATTTAACGTTTATAAAGTGTTAGCAAAGAGTAGATTGATATTTTCATGTCTAAAAAGTAACAGCACTGCATTGATAATATATAAAGTATCACCGACACCAAAGCCAATATTATAATGTGAAATAATTTTACTCTACAGTTCATCTGTTTGCACTTTCAAGTCTTTCACGGCAGCTGCAGATTGATTAGTTGGTTTGAAATATTTGCATGTCAACTTACATCTTATTATACATACGTCTGCATAGCAAGGAAGAAGCATACTAAGAAGTAGAGAGATCTCAAAAGATGTTGCACATTGAATTTGCCACAATATTCATGGAGGTTATGTGAATGCATTTTCAAGCTAATAAAACAATTTTTTGGTTCCCGTTCTTTCAATTCAATTTTTTATTTGCTCTGTAAATTGACAAGAAGCCTTGGCATTGCTAGGAAAATTTTATACAAACCGTCGACAATACGTGCCAAAGTTCTTTTATCTTGTAAATGCATTAAAAGATACAATTTTTTAAATTTATAGCTTTTTTTCAATATTGGCCGATCAAACTGCTTTTTTTTTTACAATTCTTACAATTTAATTTCTACTTGCCATTAAAAATTTTCGAGTCGAGTCCAGATTTGAAAATGTTTTTTTACCAGACAATTGTATATAAAGTAATCTGTGAAGATGACTGTCTGTCTTGGTGTGCGGCCTTGTTTAGGAATCTGAAGTTTGCACAAAGTCGTATCGAAGCATTTTTATTATTATATGTTTATATATTTATTTGAAATTCTTTTTTTTATTTCAATTTAAGAAACTCGCGATTTTTTAAACTTTGAGCGCCTAGATAACAAAAAAATCATAAAAAGTTTGATGGTTCAATGACTGATTGTTGTTTCACCTGCTCTGAATTCTTTTTTTTTGCTTAAATGAAATTTTCTTTCCGTCAACGAGATGGTTAATTGTGAGAAGTCTCATTGTTGAAGCTGGTTAATTCAATCGTTTTATTCTTGCCAAATTTTTGAATTGAGTTTCCTGTTTTTCTGTCTGCTAAATTTTTAATTGAATTCGAAGAGATTCTATCATATGTTTAATGCTATATTTTGAAATCCTTCAATCGTTGACCTGTAACAGTTTGCAGCCGTTTCGACTCTTTTCCCTTCAACACTAAACAAGTGCTTTTTAAGTTTTCTATTATTAAATTTAACAGTTGCCTTATGTTGCTATCCAATAACCATCCACAAAGTTAATCAGTCGAATGTTGAATGTTTGAATTTTCTAAACGTTCCTTAAACTTGGATGTTTATTTTACTTTTTTTTTACTTTATTTACTTTCTTAATGTTTGAAGTCATCACTTACTCTATCGATTTTGAAATCCACTTTGTTTATAAATTTTTTCTACTTCCGTTCTTTCTTTAACTAATTTAGTTCATTTATCTTTTATTCATTTATATTTTATTTTTATAAATTCTTTCAATTGACCTTTTATTTCATGTTGCGTTGACTTCGTTTAATTTTGCACTGATTCTAATTAATTTAGCACCAAGAAGAACCGCATTAAAATAACGTTTTGGTAAATAAAGTTGGTTGACGAGTTAGCTCAGACGCAAAAAGTACCGCGCCACGTGCTGTTGTGCATGCATACCACTGTTTGTGCAAAACTTAGTGCGGATGATGAGGCACTCGTGTGTACAAACAAATGTGCAAAT